GGATTTAATCAGAAGTAAAGCTTTGGCGGTCTTCCATTTCCTATGTCTTAAAATGTTCCATTAATAAATAGCTAAAATCCCCCTCTAAACTACGCCCATGCTCACACACACATTCATGCAGTTCACGTTCGCATTATTTGGCATCCCATTTGTTTTTGTTTTTTTTTCCTTCCTTCCATACACCATTATGGGAGGTTTTTCTCTGTTTTTTTTTGGGGGGGGTCTGGGGTTTTTTTGGGGCCAGAAGATAAACACTTGAGTGGCTCAAAATGGGCGAGTCGGTTATTGTCTGGCTGAGAATCGAATTCAGCGGAATAATTTCCACCCAATCATTGGAAAAATTCAAGCATAAAAATCACTGAAATAAAATCTATTTGCCATTAGGTTTCCCAGATTAATTTTTATCAGCGCCTTCCCACACACTCTACAGCGACTTTGCCTTTGTGTTTCACTATCAGCATTTTTAGTGCTCGACAAATATGCAAATATAAAAATTGACTTCTGTTAATCCGTAGTCTCAATAATCACAATGACAAATCAGTTTCAAAAATATATAAAAATTGTTTGTATTTTTGGGGGTACTTGGAGATCTTTTGTTTGCTTGCACTGATAAAAATACAAATGCTGCTTGGCTGCCATGGAAAATGTATGCGTTAAGTGCTGATCTGCGGAGGCGGATCTACGGGAGTTAAGTGAGGAGCAAAGAGCAGCTTTAATTGGCAAATATTTCAATGCTTGATCGTTCTTTATTTAGGGTTCTACCGAAAAAACAATGATTACAATTGGAAAACATTGGAAAATCTGTCGCTGTGCATACATCACTGGGAAAGCGTACCTGTTCGATAGAAAACCTATCATATCTATCTATTGATCTAAGGACTTGACGATCATTCTTTTTGGATTAATTAAAGCTTCGGGATGCTTTTCTTCCCTACATTTTGTGCATTCCTGAACCTCTAGATCCCCGCTTAGCATCCAGCCAATAACAGCGTTCGATGCCCAGACCCAGCGCCATTTCTATCAGCAGCGAACCGCATAAAAACTAATTCCACTTAATGGCCCAATCTACATAAAAAATCGCTCCTCCCCTCTGCGAACAAACCCCGAACCACAAAAAATCGATGAGCAGAGCGAGGGGTATGAGTCACTGGGATGGCCGCCTGCCTGCCTGCCACTGCCACCCCGCATAAATTTCCAAATAATGTAATGCTCAAAAAAATCCACACAAATAGAAGGAGCAAAAGAGAAGGCTATATAGCCAGGGGGGGTAGGGGAGGTAGGTAGGATTGGGTGGGCAGCGATTGGGGGAGCGAAAATAAAGTTGGAAATCATGAACCATACAAAATGAAAATCCACCCTCGGAAAAAACGTTGCCAACGGTTTTTTCTTTTTTTTTTTCCCTCCCCCCGTTTGTTCGTTTTATTTTGTTTTCCTTCGTTCTCTTTTGTTTTGTTTAAGTGGGCAAAAAAGGAAGAGCACAAAAAGTATCTGTGTGAGAGGGTGGGAAATTTATCTGTGTGTGTGTGTGGGTGTGTGTGTTTGTGTGGGGAAGAAGTGTATGAAAGTGGGGTAGAAGTGGGTGGAAGGAGCGGGTGGATGATGGTTCTGTGCTGCGCTGGGCTGTTTCGCTTTGTTTGCAAAACAATCAAAAGCGAACGGAATCGTCGTCTTCGTCGTCGTCGTCGTAGCCGTCGCTGTCGCCATGCCCTGTACTTTTTTTCCTTTCCCTCCCATTTTGGGGTTCAATCTCCCCGTTGACATCGTTGGCGACATTAAATATTGCTCCGAGTTCTTTCTTTTTTCCTGGTATCCCCTTATCCATCCCTCCCAGTTCTCTCTGTGTGGCGTTGCCTTCTTTTTGTGCCCCTTGTGCCAAACCAATTTCTAGCATATTTTTATGAGTCCTCTGTGCTGGCGAGCCCTGTTCTTGTTTCTCTCATGTGTGTGCTGTGTGGCAGGCGCAGCAGCTTTCGTTTATTTTGCAAACGTGTGCCACCAGACACGCCTCCAACGCCTCCAACGCCCCCAACATGGTTGCCGTAGCCATGTGCGAGACGCTAATAACGTTTGCTTGCCAAAAAGCAGCAGGAAATGAGCCAGAGCCAGAGCCCCTGCCAGATCGTAGCAGGGATGTACAGCCTTCCTGGCAGCTCTTCCATATGGCGGGTGGTTCCTGTGGCCAGACGTCAGTTGGGCATTGAAGCGGGGAAGATTTAGTGCGTTGGAGAAAAAAGGGATGCGCTTTTGGGAGAAAGAGGAGATCCTCAACCGTTGCGCTCAGAAGAAAATAATAGTCCACTCTAAAATTTATTCAGACTCAAATCTATGGAATTTTGTACTAGGGAATGTGCTCTTAATTTGTTCCGATATAAGTACAAAATTCTTTTAGTACATAGTAAGCTCCTTTAGTACCAAGGGGTACAGATGCATATTGCCGGGTACCTATAGCACCTAATGAACAATAGATATGTACACCAACAATCTTCACTGAATGCAGTATGATCTAGCTCTCTCTACTCCATTTCCACATCCATTTAATACCCCCAATCATCGCATATGTACGTACATCAATTCATTAGTTTTATAGTTCCGTTCTCCTTACATTTTCACTGCGTTTTATATGGCTTTTTAGTAAATTACAAAAATGCGTCATTTTCATTTTCAATTTCATTCTTTTTTTGGTTCAGGGCACACAGCACACAAAATGGTGTGCCTATAAACCAGAAACAACACAACGGCAACGGCAACAGCAAACTAAAGCCAGCAGCCAAATAACGGAAATGACAAAACAGAAATACACAAACACACACAAGCATAAGCACACACTCACACAATAACCGTGGAAGGCGGAAGGGGAATTACCCACATGCCCAAAAATATGCAACATTTTTTATATGTTTCTGCTTCACAAAACTTTTTCGCAGGCAGCATCATAAAATTTTTTTCTGCTGCTGCTGCTGTCACTTTTTTCCTCCGCCGCCGTTCTGCGGCCATGGCTTTTATGTTGCCTCTTGCATGTGTATGTGTGTGTGTGTGTGTACTGGTGTGTGTGAGTGCTTTTTATGACCCAATATGGCCGCCACAGTGCGGAGTACGTGTCCGGTCCATGCCGTTCCGTCCTCCCATTGCGGGTTTATGAATTATATAGATTTTTATGCGGTCGCATATTATTTTTGTGGCCTTTTTTGGCTCTCCCTCCTCTCATCGTCCCTTCTCCTTTTTTGTGAGTGTGCTTTTGCTTTTCTTTTGTTCCTTTTCTTTTTGTGGGCAGGCAATAAAAATGTCTTTTTATGTGTACGTTTGTCTCATACCATGGCTATCCCGCGGCCAAGATCTTTTGGTTTCGGTTTCGCCATAATGGAATGGCCTTCAGTCAGGAGGTTTATGAATATGCCTTCTACTAGATACGGCCTTATTCTATATGTAGTATATGGTTTGGGCTTTACGAGGTCCTGCCGCAGGCACAGCTTTTATTATTCCCATTTTCATATATTACGCTCTCCATTTTCCGTTTGTTTCCTTCGTTCTCACGCTGCTTTTGTCATTTTTGCATTAATTTCATATTTGGTTTATGTTTTGGGTAGTTTTGGGGCGGTCGGGCTCGTTGAGTTTTTCTTGTCGCTGCTGTTTATTTCGCATAAATAATATATATTTTCGGTTATTGCGTCTGCACGGCATTAATATTATTTCCAACAGGCACACGCAAACACACACACAATCACATTTAGGTATAGTTGGCTGTGCATCCTGCGAACCGCAGGACCTCATGGCCGTGAGCTTTAATTTTGGCTCATTTTTCGCTATCAAAACATTATGTTTATGCGCCTGTATTTGTTTTTGTTCCACTCATATGTACATACATATTTACATATCTATGTGTATATACTTACACACTCGGCGTAAATATTTGCAATTAAATATGCCAAAAATACACCAGAAATACACCAGATATACACACATGCATATCCCTTCTTATTTTTCCCATTTTGTGGGCATTTTGATGCAGCTAAAAAATACATACATATGTATGTACATATATAGTTTCTTATGTAACTAAAATTTTCGGTTTTATTTTTTGCATTTAGAATACAAAAATTCTGGAAAATAATATGACGACAAATGGAATAACAATAATTTTAATAAAGAAATAAACTGCATACAGAAATCCGAGCCCAAAAGAGCTGTCACTTACTGGCTTTCCAATTAAAGTTACTTTTGCCACCTTTTATGGCACACTTTTTCCAGATAAAGACACATGATACTCATTCCTTACACCATGACGACAGGTGTTCCACCTGCTTCCCCACTTGGATTAAAGACGAAATACCTCTAATCTTAATTGTTTTATTAGATCGTATTAATACAAAACATGAACTTTGCCAGAGATATCAATGGATGACAAGCCACCTACAGTAATCAATGTACTGTAAGGTGGTAGACCTTATTTTATGGCTTTCGTAAGTGCAAGTTTTTGTTCTACATACATATATCTGATCCCACTGTGCACAGCCTGCAATGGGGTCGTGAGAGCGCCCAGCGTCATGTAAACAATTTGAGTGCAAGTGTACTCGGACTTGCAAGCGCTGCTGCCCCGGCACGAGGCCAATGAACAAAACTGCTTATCAGTGGCGTTGAATATAAGAGACCCACATCAGAATCTGCCGCTGGATTGATTAAAGTGCCGTTGACAGCTAATCGTCTCGCCTAATGCACGAGATATTAAACGGAATGTAACTACAATTTCCAATTGTTGAGTGTTTCTTTCACACATGGCAACACGAGTGGGAGAGAGAAGGAGTGGGAGAGCGCACCCGCACCATCTTGCCAAAGTGCCGAATCTAATGTAGAGTGAGAGCAAAAGAGTAAGTCTTAGCTTTGACAACCAGTGGCGTAGGGCAAATGCTTCAAAGGGGATTATATTTATACCTTATTTATATCACTACACAAATAATTTCAATCATAATATATATATTTCAAGTAATAAATACAATAAAGTAATGCAGAGATCCGATCCCCCTTTAACTACGCCACTGCCTTAGTCATTCAGCCAAGCGCCGTTATCTTCGTGAATTTGAAAACAACGCGGCGAAAGCTTTGGAGGTAGAGAATCCAGAGCCCAAGTGCGTCTCGGACGCCTCGAGACATTGTGCAAACTGACGTCCCACGGGACAGTCGCAATAAGATTATAATTAATTGAGTAACGCGGCTATAAAAAAAACGAAGTGAACATAACTAAGGACTAACAAAGGAACAAAGGCTAAGCTAAGCGCACAACAACTTCAAAACAAAGCCATGGCCGAGGGGACACAGCAGCAGCAGCAGCACAGGGGCGCGGCAGAACTGACCGAACTCAATTTTGTGCGCGAAAAATTGCAAAAATTCCAATCGAAAATGCTGGAAGACTTTGAAAAGCGCCTGTCCTGCATGGTCGAGGATGTCCTGCAGGATCTGCGACAACGAGAACTGCGCTCACACGAATTTCGCAACTTCCAGAGCCCCAATGGGGGAGTGAGCCAAAACAGCGCTTGGCATAATCGCATGCCCAATCCAAAAGTTCGAGCCACCGCAGACAGCGACGTTAGCGATAGTCCAAATGGTCATGCAAATGGTGCGACGCCGGCGCCACACCAAGGACAGAAGCGACCACAGCGACGTCAATTGCCCGAAAAAGTATTCGTGGCGCGGGAATCGTACCTGACCGCACTGCTCCAGGTGGATCACATGCGTACCATCTATCACATCTTCTACATTATTCTGGTCATGTTTCTGCTGAATGTGATCTTCTACGACTACTTTGTGAAGGGGCGCATCGATCTGGGCCTGGGCACGTTTCAGGGCGGACTGAAACGCTTGCACTGGGTCTTGGGTGTGTGGCTCCTGGAGCATGTCTTTGTCCTGGCACTCTACTACGCCTTCCAGGGATGGGCTTTGGTCAGGCATAAGCTAAAACAGCATAGTAAGTACTGAAGGGAACTCCATGGAGCTCAAACTAATCCCAGATCACTTCCCTTGACAGGTGCCCTTCAACGATTCTGGTCACACAGCTGCCTGATTATGTACATCAGCTCCCAACTGGTATTTTGCTTTGTCTCCACCTCGCTCTGCCTTAAGTTTCGCCTGCCCTTTGTCAGCGCCTGCATCCTTCTGCTGGAGAGCACTCGCCTGCTCATGAAGATGCATGCCTTCGTGCGATACAATGCACCTCGCGTGCTGGTGGGCAAGGAGAAGACAGATGACGACAAGGAGGCCGCATCGGCCGGACGACCATTTGTGCCGCCTGTGCGCAGCTATGTGTATTATCTGTTTGCACCCACGCTGATCTATCGGGACAGCTATCCACGTACCTCGCACATACGCTGGAAGTTTGCGCTTAACAGATTGCTGGAGGTGGTGGCCGTGGCATTTCTGTACGCCTTTATACACGAGCGTCACATACACGAGCACTTTGGAGAGTATGGCAAGGAGGAGATGGGCCCATCGCAGTTGATCCTGAAACTGTTTGGCATGATGCTGCCCAGTGCAGTGATATTCCTGTGTGGCTTCTACCTGATCCTGCACTCGTGGCTAAATTTCACGGCGGAGCTGCTGCGCTTCGGAGATCGCATGTTCTACAAGGATTGGTGGACATCGCACACGTACGACGCCTACTACCGCAACTGGAATGTTGTGGTGCACGATTGGCTGTACGAGTACGTGTACAAGGACATGTATATGCACGTCTTCAAAGGCTCCAAGGTGGCCGCCTCGTTGTCGGTGTTTATGATTTCGGCTCTGGTGCACGAGCAGGTGCTGGGATTCGCCTTGCAAATGTTCTTTCCCGTCATGTTTTTCTTATTTGGCATTGTGGGCGTCACCCTGGTGTATCTGATGCGAAGTGCGCCCAAAGTGCTGGGTAACATGTTCCTTTGGTTCTCCCTCATCCTGGGCAATGGGGTATTAATCTCTCTCTACGCCATGGAATATTATGCAAAGAAGAATTGCGATCTCAGCAACAAGAGTTGGACCGATCACATCGTGCCGGCTGTCTGGCGTTGTTATAACTAGCTTTAAATGTACAATACTCCTTCCTGCTTTTAAACTGTTTGTACACATGGCGTACATTTGATTTGTATTTTAGGTAAAGTAAATAACTTAATTGAAATTAACAGGAACGTTTCAACACGTTAAACAAACAGTTTTGGAAGTTTGAACTTTTGATCAGCTGCAATGCTCCTTAAAACTAATGGATTACATACTTATTTTACATCAGGATGTCCTGATAAACCTGTCTATCTTATGGAATACTTTGTGAGTTGGTGGGTGCTGTCATCTCCATCCCGACTATGTCTCCTCCTGGCTTTATGCACAGGCCGCCGCTTGTTTCGAAGATCCCTGCGAGACGGTCTCTTCCTCGACGCGTTTGCGACGGAACAGAATCACATGGGGCTCCGGAGCATGCATCATGTAATGGACCCAGCCGGGACTCTGCTGTACGCCAAGATTGCGCCACTCCGTTTCAGTCATCAGGTGTGCCTTGGGCACATGCTTGGCCAAATCGGAAGGCAGAATAACATGCCTGCCGGTTGGGGTAAAAAACGCTGTTGTTAGCAGTTGTTGGTCTGTTGACTGACGCGAACTCACCTGTATTCGAATTTGTCATCAAAGTACTTCTCCGAGTACTGGATTTGATCTGCCGGCATTGTGGCAAAGTTAAATTAAACCCCAAGTTAAATTAAGTAAATTAAAAATAATACGAGCAAGGCAGGGATGGCACTACGACTATTTCGATAACACCAGTAACAGTTTCGCTGTGATTGGCAACTATTGAATAAACTGACAGCAATCGATAACTAAGCAGATGATAATTTTGGAACTGAACTGGAATGTTTAAAGACTAATTAAATGTGAATTTGTTTGTAACGCAACTGGTTAAGCACTGGGCTTTGTTTTAAATACGCATTTCGTAGCGTATTCTTTCTGGCTGGAGCACATCTGTTGCATTTCAGGGTAATCGATTGAAATAATTTGCATGGTAGAGAGGAAGGTTTCCAGACAGGGTGGCAAGGCCGAGGTTGAAGGGATAGTGGTGAGCGGATGGTGGCGCCCCCTAGTCGGGCGATCTTAAAACTATGAGATCCGCGCGCTCTTGAATTCCCTTGTGGAGAGAGGAGAGCCGGTGTCCCGGAGCCAATTCACCCACACACGCTTAAGGGGAGAGAGAGCGGTTACAGGAAGAGTAGGCCATGCCCTTGAACCTGGTTCAAGGGCAATAGAAGAGATCGATGGGGCTTGGCGACCAACGATAGAGGTATGGGAAGCTTAGGCTTAGGCTTAGGAGATCAAAAAAATCGTTGGCGGAAGACGGTACAAAAAAAAATCGGTTACGGATCGGGTCTCAGAGAAATAAAAATAAAAATAATTAGAAACAAGGAGGAAGTAGAGCTGCCTAGCGGGACCGATGCGGATATATTAGAAAAGCTGGAAAAAAAAGGAACAAAAACTGTGCCCAGTTCCGCCGTCCTGTCCACAGCGGCATGGTCCTTCGCCCGGCCTAGAAGTGGACCCCGGAATATCGTCCCCGTCCTCCAGCAAAGATGTTATTAAACCCGATTTAAATACCTACATGTAATTTAGAACCCACTAGGCCGTCGCATATCTGTGTATACACTTATTTATTTATTTACCGTTAATTATATTTATTTATTTGTTCTTATATATGTAATTGTCACTATTTATAATTATTTATTTATTTAATCATAGTTAATTTGATACGCCCATGCCCATAATTTAGGTCACAGAATAGAAGAGGTTAGGATGGGGATTAGGAGGTCGACCTAAACCAGCTAGGAGTTACAGAATACCAAAAGAATGTGTGAAAAATGTTATTTAAAGTGAAATTATAACGTTTAATATGAATTGCTAGTGTGTTTAGTATGGGGGGGAAAGGGGACCACAGCGGCGAAATGGAGATCGGCCGCTACACTTGAGGAAAAGAGGAGATGTGTAGTTGTTCCGCGTCGGAGAGATGATTGTCCGTGAGGTTTAGTGTAAAGTCCGTTGGTTTGTTTTGAATCGTCGTTTTGTTGTCATATTTGTTCGAGATGCCCGAACAGCTGGTTTGTTGTGCGACCTGGGGGCCTGGGAAAAACCTATTCCTGAGATGACTGGCTAGCCGGCCTTGCCCCACCACTAAAACAGGTTCGTAACAATAATGGCGCCCAATCTAAGACAAATTTGTGAGTCGCGGTCCGTTCTCGAACACGAAAGTGGGAGAGTACGGCTGCGAATCACAAAAGTCGAGGAGGTTATAAATGTCCAGCCGAGAGGAACGATCTCGAGTGGTAGTCTGCAGTAAGGGTCCGTCTGTGTTCCGGTGGCCTGGGAGGAGCTGTGAAGGTTGGCTCGCAGATGCACGGCACTGAGGGATCTGAAAATGTAGGAATCCACAAAGTAAATTGTTTTTTTTGTAGTCTGTGTTTAAACTTATCTGACAGAGGGAAGCCGGAGCTCTCAAGGGGGTGAGGTTGGCACTGACGGAGGAGAATCCTCAAGCCAGTTAGCAACCGACCCGTTGCCTGGTGGACGAAAGAGAGCCTGGAAAGAAAAAATACCCAAAGTTAGTTAAGGTCGAGTAGTTTTTGTTTGCGCTGCTTCCCCTACTTACCGCTGGAGGAGGCGGGAAGGTAGTATCTCGTAGAGATTTTTGCTGTAGGTGGCCCGTGGGGACATTTAGTCGGTCACGCGATGCACCTGGAGCAGCTACAGGATCCCGAGGATATCCTTCAGTAGAGTAGTGGGACAGAAGCAGCTAGGTAGAAGAGTGAGCGCCCTTGACACTTAATCTTCTGTAGAAGATGAGAAGTCAACAGCGCTCGCGACTAAGAAGGTAGACGTTGGACAAGCAAAGACGTAGGGAACCAAGTGCAGATGGCTCCAGTAGCAGTTGTGGTTACTTTCCCCTCTTGTGGTTGATCTTGCAGTTTTTTTATTTGTTTTTTTCGTGTTGAGTTTTGTTGGAGTTAGGTAGTTATCTGTGAAAGAAAGGAAAGTTAGGTAGTTAGAAAAGTTTATGAGCAGCTACAACTTACGGTCAAAAGGGAAAATGACTCACAGGACTCCTCCGCCAGGAAACCTGCCTGAACAGATGCGAGGAGGAGATAGTCAGGGCGCGGAAGGAGGCGAGAACGACAGCTGGAACCCGCCGAAGACCCCAAAAGAATTGCCGTCGGAAATTCTTTCGGGCATAAACGTCGCCATAGCACAAGCGCAGGAGACGCAGAGAGGTGCTATGGCAGACACCATCAGCAGGACGCTGCAAGAAGAGATCCGTCGTGGATTTATGGAGCTGATGGGTGCCATAACGGAGGCAATGACGCCCCTGCGCCAGAAGGGAGAATTGATCCATGATCTGAGCTGGGAGAAGGGTCCAAATGGCAGAGAAGGCGGTCCAGCGGCTCCAGAATGGCGAAGACAGAGTACCGGCACCAGACCCAAAGGTTCCGTGGAACAACAGGAGCATATTCCACAAGCGCCTCCAAGGAAGCCGGAGAGACGGAGCCAAAGTTGGGCCCACATGGTGGAAGATGGCGGTCTGGAAACGAGACCGATGGAACTGGAACGGGAACCAGCAGGAGACGGCGGAGCTCGGCGATTCACGACGCCCTACGAGAGGCGAGACGAGTGGAGAGAGCCGAGATGGGGACGCGTCGACAAGTGGGACATCCATTTCGACGGCGACCCAGACCCAGCCAAACTGACGGTGGAGGATTTTGTCTTTCGGGTCGAATTTCTCCAGAGGCAGAGTCGACGCTCGTGGGACGAAGTCCTCAATAATTTTCACCATCTGGTGAGAGGACGGGCTGCCGAGTGGTACTGGCAGTTTGTCCGAGAGAGGCCTCCAGAAGTCTGGGAGGACTTAAAGGACGAGTTGGTGACCCGATTCCGTGCAGTAGGTGGGCAGTACGAGCGGCTGCGTGCGTTGCATGAGCGACGCCAAGAACCTGGAGAATCGGTGGAAGACTACTTCCGAGCTATGCGGAGGCTGGACGCAAGGCTTATCACACCGATAGCGGATTCCGAGATGGTCAGAGTCGTCAAGAAGGGACTCGAGGAGGAGATCGCTCGGTATGTGTACGCGATCCGAGTCCGGAACCTGGAGCAGCTGAGGGAAGAGTGTGTAGAGGTGGAATACCATTTACGCAGACGTGAGCGAAGGTCAGCTTTTCGCCCGACGACAAAATTCCAACAATCCGGGAAGCGAGTCGAGGAGATAGAGCCAGATTCGGAGCTGTTGGAAGGAAAGGAAGAGTTGATGGTTGAGGAAACCCACCTGACAGCGAAGCCGAGGCTGGGTTGCTGGAATTGCGGAGAAGTTGATCACGGGTTCCGAGAGTGTATGGCAAAGGAACGCAGAGTATTCTGTTACCTCTGCGGAAAGCCCGAAACGTACACGCCGAAGTGTCCCAACTGTTCGGGAAACGCAAGAACGGGCTTGATAAAGGCGGGACATCAGAGCTCGGGACGAAGGCCCGCGAGAAAGTGAAGGATGCACTGTTGGAGTTTGTAAAAATTAAGCATATTAACCCAAGTAGTGTAGAAAAATATAGTTTAAAATTCTTACCGGCCGAAGAGAGGATGAGGAGATATACACAAGTCCGAAATCGGATCTTTGACGGACATCAGCTGAGTGGAATGCGAGGTGTCAGCCGTAGACTCCAGAAGGCCCGGGCACGCTTCCGGCAAAGGAGACAGACTCGCAAGGAGGTGGCTGAAGCAGTCAGGCGTGGAGCAGGACGTGACCCAAGGGTTTTTGCCAAGGTGCAAATCCTAGGACGGAAGATTTCCGGACTCCTGGATACTGGGGCATCCGTAAGTGTCCTCGGAAAGGGCAGTCGTGAGCTCCTAGACGACCTCGGGGTGGAGATGGACAACTATGTCTCGATCGTCAAAACCGCCGCAGGAGAGGACCGGACCATAATCGGCAAGGCGAGAATCCCTGTGGAGTACAAAGGAATCAGCAAGGACGTTCTCTTTTACATCTGTCCATACCTGGAGCAAGTCATGTACTTGGGTGTCGATTTTTGGAGGTCGTTCGCGTTGGCTCCCACAGTCCTCGGAGCTTATCCAAGTTCGCCCAGCGATGCCAAGATATCCGAAGCCCAGATGTCACAGATCAGCCAATATGCCGAAGACCATCAGGAGAACGTACATGTGGACGCGTGGGACCTGGAAGAGAAAGAAGCTGAAGAACTAGAGGAGGTGAAGAAGGAGTTCCTAACTTACGAAGATGCCGGATTAGGGTCAACGACGGTAGAGGAGCATCGGATCCAGTTGGTAGAGGGCGCGGAGCCGTTTAAAGATCGACACTACCCTCAATCCCCAGCGATGCAGGAAGTGGTCTGGACCGAAGTGGACAAGATGCTGGAACTGGGAGTGATAGAGGTTAGCGATAGTCCGTGGAGCAACAGGACGACGGTAGTGCGGAAGCCTAACAAAAACAGATTTTGTTTGGACGCGCGAAAGCTGAACCAACTCACCGTCAAAGACGCATACCCTCTTCCTAGCATCGAGGGAATACTGTCCAGGATCGACCAGACGCACTACATTTCCAGTGTAGACCTCAAATTTGCTTTCTGGCAAATTAAGCTGGATCCAGAAAGCAGAAAGTGTACCGCGTTCACCGTTCCAGGTCGTCCGCTGTACCAGTTTGTAATGATGCCCTTCGGTCTGTGTAACGCTGCACAGAGGCTATGCAGGGTGATGGACAAAGTGATCCCGACGCAGTTGAGATCAAACGTTTTCGTCTATCTAGATGATCTCTTGGTGATAGCTCCCGATTTCCAGACACATCTCCGGTACCTTCGGTTGGTGGCCCAGTGCCTGCGAAAAGCAAATTTAACAATAGGCTTACAAAAATCAAAATTTTGCTTTAGGTCCCTGAAATACCTGGGATTTATCATCGGAGGTGGCACGTTGCAGATGGATCCTGAGAGAGTTTTGGCCATTCAAAGGATTCCCAATCCGAGTTCAGTGAAGGAACTAAGAAGCTTCCTAGGAACCGCAGGATGGTACAGGCGCTTCATCAAGGATTACGCTTCCATTGCAGTGCCGCTGACAGACGCGCTGAAGAAGCATCCGCGTGGAAAGTTTTTCCTGTCCACGGAGGCCGAAACGGCGATAGGATCCCTGAAGAAGGCACTCACCACGGCTCCGGTATTGAGTCATGCGGATTTCAAGAAGCCTTTCTACGTACAGTGCGACGCATCGAATTACGGAGTGGGAGCGGTGTTGTTTCAGTTGGACGTCGAAGGAGCCGAGCGTCCGGTGGCATTCTTCTCCGCCAAGTTAAACAAGCATCAGCTAAATTATTCTGTAACGGAAAAAGAGTGTTTAGCTGCGGTGTTGGCCATTGAGAAATTCAGACCATACGTTGAATTGATGCCCTTCACGGTTATCACGGATCACGCCAGCCTGAAATGGCTCATGTCGTTGAAGGACCTAAACGGACGTCTTGCGAGGTGGTCATTGCGACTGCAGAGGTTTGACTTTGGGATCGAACACCGGAAAGGAGTCGATAACGTCGTGGCGGATACGCTCTCACGCTGCATCGACGAAGTGGTGATAGATCCAACGGAGATCCTCGGGTTCCAGACGACAGAGTTTGAGTCTTCAGAATATCAGGAGCTGAAAGGAGAAATCGGCAAGAATCAAGACATGTTGCCCGACTTACGAGTGGAAGGGGATTTGATATTCAAGCGGATGGCCTTCACGCAAATGGACGACCAAGTGGAAGGGTCCATTTGGAAATTATGGATTCCCGCGTCACTGACGGAAACTCTCATCTCCAAGGCCCACGAAGACCACACAGCTGGACACGGCGGACTTAAGAAGACCCTGCATCGGCTTAGAAGGCAATTCTACTGGCCAGCGATGACGACACAAGTGCGGGAGTATGTCCGGAATTGCGATGCATGTAAGGAGTCCAAAGCTCCCAATTATCGAAGCCAGGTAGGGATCGGTCAGGAAGTCGTAACGGAGAGGCCGTTCCAGAAATTATACATCGATTTTCTGGGAAAGTATCCCGGTCAAAAAGGGGACAAGCCTGGATATTTGTCGTCGTAGACCACTTCTCTAAATTCACCTTCCTGAAAGCGATGAGAGAGGCGACCGCGGCGAACGTAGTTCAATTCCTAGTACAGGAAGTGTTCTACAAGTTTGGGGTGCCCGAGGTGATCCACTCCGACAACGGAAAACAGTTCCTGTCGAAGATCTTCCAGGACATGATCAGCACCTTTGGCGTCCGACATCTGCGCACAGCAGTCTACTCACCACAGAGCAATGCCGCCGAGAGGGTGAACCGGACAATATTAACTGCAATCAGGACGTATTTAGAGAAGGATCATCGAGACTGGGATATATACCTACCGGAGATTGAAGTGTCGATCCGTGACTCAGTGCACGAAGCAACAGGCGTGACGCCGTTTTTTGCAGTTTTTGGACAGCAAATGTTCCTTAATGGGAACTGCTATAAGTTGGCGAGGAAGCTGCAGTCGCTGACGGAGCATGAGGTGCACGCATTGGACCCCGCGGATAAATGCCACATCATCCGGGAACGTATTAAGGCCAACCTTCACCACGCGTATGAGCGCAGCAGCCAGCGCTACAACAAACGGGCCCGAATATTCTTCGCCAAACCTGGGCAAGAAGTATACAGGCGCAACTTCACCCTCAGTGACTTTGGGAAGAGCTACAACGCTAAGTTCGCCCGGAAGTTCCTGAAGTGCCGAGTCGTACGCCCGGTTGGAAATAATGCCTACGAACTTGAAGACCTGGCGGGGAAGCCGGTGGGGATTTTTCACGCCAAAGACCTAAAATTGTAGGAGCAAAATTAACACCAAGATGTACTCACGTATTAATTGGTAGAAGAGTGGGTGTAAGCCTACGTTGGGGCGCTGTAGGCAAGGCCGACGCAAACTTATAAGTCCTTCAATGTTGGTGAATAATTCTTCGCGTCCATGGTCCCCCGAATTTTCACTAGGTGTTGCATTTCAGGGTAATCGATTGAAATAATTTGCATGGTAGAGAGGAAGGTTTCCAGACAGGGTGGCAAGGCCGAGGTTGAAGGGATAGTGGTGAGCGGATGGTGGCGCCCCCTAGTCGGGCGATCTTAAAACTATGAGATCCGCGCGCTCTTGAATTCCCTTGTGGAGAGAGGAGAGCCGGTGTCCCGGAGCCAATTCACCCACACACGCTTAAGGGGGAGAGAGCGGTTACAGGAAGAGTAGGCCATGCCCTTGAACCTGGTTCAAGGGCAATAGAAGAGATCGATGGGGCTTGGCGACCAACGATAGAGGTATGGGAAGCTTAGGCTTAGGCTTAGGAGATCAAAAAAATCGTTGGCGGAAGACGGTACAAAAAAAAATCGGTTACGGATCGGGTCTCAGAGAAATAAAAATAAAAATAATTAGAAACAAGGAGGAAGTAGAGCTGCCTAGCGGGACCGATGCGGATATATTAGAAAAGCTGGAAAAAAAAGGAACAAAAACTGTGCCCAGTTCCGCCGTCCTGTCCACAGCGGCATGGTCCTTCGCCCGGCCTAGAAGTGGACCCCGGAATATCGTCCCCGTCCTCCAGCAAAGATGTTATTAAACCCGATTTAAATACCTACATGTAATTTAGAACCCACTAGGCCGTCGCATATCTGTGTATACACTTATTTATTTATTTACCGTTAATTATATTTATTTATTTGTTCTTATATATGTAATTGTCACTATTTATAATTATTTATTTATTTAATCATAGTTAATTTGATACGCCCATGCCCATAATTTAGGTCACAGAATAGAAGAGGTTAGGATGGGGATTAGGAGGTCGACCTAAACCAGCTAGGAGTTACAGAATACCAAAAGAATGTGTGAAAAATGTTATTTAAAGTGAAATTATAACGTTTAATATGAATTGCTAGTGTGTTTAGTATGGGGGGGAAAGGGGACCACAGCGGCGAAATGGAGATCGGCCGCTACACTTGAGGAAAAGAGGAGATGTGTAGTTGTTCCGCGTCGGAGAGATGATTGTCCGTGAGGTTTAGTGTAAAGTCCGTTGGTTTGTTTTGAATCGTCGTTTTGTTGTCATATTTGTTCGAGATGCCCGAACAGCTGGTTTGTTGTGCGACCTGGGGGCCTGGGAAAAACCTATTCCTGAGATGACTGGCTAGCCGGCCTTGCCCCACCACTAAAACAGGTTCGTAACACATCTACAAATTCCATGAACGCACAAACGATATACTAGTGTTGGTAGCCGTCGCGCAGTGGTATCAGTCGAATCTTCTACCCCGATATCGTCGCAGCCTGAAATGCTGCCTTCACATGTTCAAAAATAAACCATACACCATCCAAAGAAAAGGAAATTCCCCAGCAGCAACATCACATCCCACAAAAGGCCTAAAATATATTTTGGATATTATTAATGGTGCAAATTCGTTGGCCATTGGCCCCTGGCGTGTGTGTGCGTACATACCAAAAGAACTGCTGCCGTCGCTGTTGTTGTTGTTGTGTGCGTGTGCAGAGCAGAAGAGCATAGAAATTGCCAAACGTTTTTATATAAGCTCCATGTTCTATGTTTCCCAACATACGCATATAAATGTGAACGCACATATTTAATATTAGCATAGAGTTGTCATTCATTCCCCCCCTTGGCAACCGACGCGCTGGGCCCCTACGGCAATAGCAACGGCGAGAGAGCAGCGGCAGCAACAGCAGTTACGATACGAGTAAATATACACATGAGGAGGAGAACACAATTAAAAATACACCAAGAGCTCCATTAACGCTGTCCCCAGCCACCCAGCGCCATACATCCCACCATCGCACACAAATGGATATATGGAAGTGCGCGTGCTAGAAGCGAAGCCACCACCACCACCTGCTGCTGTTGCTGCTTCGTGGGACTGGGACTAGGATTAGGACTAGCACTAGCACTAGCACAACGGATATTGGCATTGCCCCACCCATCCAGACAGCTGCTTCAAACTGCGCCGGTGACGACGAGCAGTTAAGGGCAGCAGCATCTCTGCCCCTGCCCTAGCCCTAGGACCTCTACCCGCCGAGTGGCGCAGGAGCAGCAGCCAGCGGCCAGGAGAACAACAGCCGCCGACGCCGCCGCCGCAGTGCAATGAACGCCAGCCTCATCTATGAGATACTCATGTATCTGAATTCATTCTACTTTGGCATGTACGCCGCCTTTGAGGTGGGCGTGGGCGTGCTAAAGGCAATCAATCTGAACTACGGCGAGAATGTGTTGTCGCGGGAGGCGTCCATACTGCTCTCGTTGTGCATCATTGAGACGCTACGCATTGTCTTTGGCCGCAAGAGCAGTCTCAGCGATCGTGGTGAGTAGACAAAAACCCCCTGCCTTTCTTAAAGGAATCCTAACCAGAGTTCGGATGATGACACTGCAAAATTATGGATGAGAGCTTCGTCATTGTCATAAACACAGTCCCCCACACTACTCATTACCGCCTGCCTTTTGCTTGCAAACGTCAGCCGCCCCATAAACGTTTCGTTGTATATGTACATATGAATGTACTCCTCTCCCATCCATCGTGGCGAATGCGTAATTATGGTCATGATGCAGATGAGAAATTGTAATCGGTTAATGGCAGGGCGACAGGACAGAGTGACTAAACATTCTCCCCTTTACTAATCTAATCTAATATATTTTTCTTTGTATCTTTTCTTTTGCAGGATGGCAAGCAACCGCATCCGTAATATTAACACTGCCCAGTCTTGCTATTGTTATATATTTGTGTTGTTTTCAAACCTATGTTCTCAAACTCGAAATGATTCTGAGTGCCTTAATGATCACCCTACAAGGTGCTGAACTAGTCTATGCCAGCATATTCATTTGTACAATGTGTCGACCCGTAACATACACCTAGCAGTACGACTACGACGACGACCACGACCAAGCCATCATCATCATCAGCATCAGCACTAGCACTACAAGAGGAAGCAGCGGCCGCCGAGGCAGTGCGACGACGAAGACGAGACGTGGCTTTCTCCTGGCACTACTCCATCAGACATCTAGACACTACTAGACCACCACTTTAAGGACACTCTACTCCACTCTATCGACTAGCAACTAAAGTAAACGAGATATTACAACCAATACAAGGATACGCTGGCGTATTGCTGTGTGTGCCCTATGTCCATAAACCAAAAAACCGAATCGATCGACTGGCACGCCGCACTCCGCTCCACACCGAAATGAACCCACGCACACACACACACACACACACACACCTTCAGATGCAACCAGGAGGCTTCCTGCCATTAAGGTAACTGCTATTCAAGTTATATAAGCCAATCCGCGCGCACAGAGAGATACAGATCAGAGATCTTATTCGCGAGACCGACGCGTCCGATTCTATCAAAAGCAAAGCTGCATTTAATTTGAATTTCTTGTTTGCATTCTTTTGTCTGGCCTTTTGTCGCCAGCACCTCCCTGCTGCTGCTGCTGCTGCTGTTGTTGCTCTGCCTGGCGTCGTACGCGCTCGTTGTTGGTATTTTTATACGCTTATGATGGTCTAAAATTATATACGAACTGAACTGCTGTGGCTCGTGTCTGTCCCCTAGGTGCAATGCACACTTCTAATTCAAATGTAATATATACGCCGGCTGGGACAGACAGACACCTTCGGTCGGGCCAGAGCACCGATGAGAGGGGGATACTTCGACTACGAGGGTCTCGGTGCTCTCGTCTGATGCCTTTCGGTTCGGTCTTTGGCCCCCCAATTAGCCCCTTCTTTTGGGCCAGGTATTAGTTAATCTATTCGGACACTTTCATGTACCCAGGGGCAGTGTATCTGTAGATCATCTGTGGCCCAAACTATGCCAGAGAAAGCCACTAAAACGGCGACAACGACCAGGCAGAGGCACGGCACAGGCACAGGCACATTATTCAAATTTCGCAGCTACAAACCGTGCTCGACTGCCCGTACCCGCTGCAACATCTAAAGCAGAGGCCGGCAGGTTCCCACCACAGACCGACAGTCTATAAATATAGCGCCCAATGTGAGCAACATCGTGCGCGGCGATCTCTGGGGACGAATTATTGCCTTCAAATTAAAGAGCGAAAGGTGCAAAGGTTGTTAACAGGATGCCGCCAAAGCGACCGCCGCCGCTGGTGCCGAAGAAGCCAAATCCCAGCATGAATTACGAAGTGTTAATCTACTTAAACTCCTTTTACTTTGGCATGTTCGCCTGCTGCGAGATGGCGATGGGTCTGCTGAAGGCCATCAATCTAAGCTATACGGGGAATACCCTGACCATGGATTCGGCGGTGATGGTTTCATTTATTGTATTGGAGTCAATACGCCTGATAATGGGTCGCAAGAGTTCGTTGGCCGATCGAGGTAGAACTATAGATTCCTCTCTTTGTCTCTGCTTGTCTGCTCTCTCTTCTAATTTTAGTCATTTGTTATCAATAAAAATAACAACATTTCTCTGTTTATTTCACAGGTTGGTCAGCCATATTGTCGGTTTTTATGACAGCTCCCTGCTTCCTCGGTGTCTCCTATCTGCTGCTGCTACAAACCTACCGACTGCGCCTGGAGTACTGCCTCTGTACGCTGCAGATAGCCCTCTATTTCACCGAAGTGTGGTATGCCATTGTCTTCGTTTTCTCACTGTGTCGTCCAGTAACTTATGATTAGTAAGAAACAGAAACAAACAAACAAACAAACAGCAAAGCAAACCGAACAAAAACATTTATACATTTAGTACTTACAAAACAAGCGAAAAGTTTAGCAATATACAACCAAAAAGAATGATAATGATTGATAGATTGATGACGATAAAGATAAAGATGAAGAGAAATTGCAGTAGGCAGTCGAGACTTGCTCATATGCCCAAAACAAAAAAAATACACAGAAACTTAGATGAAATGAAAAGTGGAAAAACAACCAAAGTAAACAAAATAAAACTTGTGTAGTTTATATGATATATAATTATACCTACTTATGATAAGATTTATGATAGAGCGAGCATACACACACACGGTTTTATATACAAGAATTGTTAACATTTAAGCATCAATTGGAACCAAAACGAGAGACAAACAAGAAAGCTTCAAAACAACTTTGATGTAAAACTTGAAAAATAATTTTCACAATTTTTAAGATGACAATTTTTTTGTAAGAAAAAAAAAACCATAAATTGTATGTGTGGTATAAATAATCTAAAAAATAGTTGAAATAATAACTCGAATCTTTACACCAAATTCTAGTCACAAAAATCATGTAAATTACGCTTGAAATCCATTCAAAAAAAAAAGAGGCGGCAAAAAGAAATAGTTGATTAAACAATGAGAGGAAACCCCAAAGAAAACTTAGCAAAAAAACACCCCACAAGAAAAGTCTAGACGATGTGTGTACTTTAATGAAGAAATACTTTATATAAAAACTAGCATATAGCAAACAACAACAAAAGAAAAGGGAAAGCAAACAAAAAATTTAGAGAGTGTTAACATAGGCAAAAGAACCTCTTTCCCTGCCCCCATTCTTCAAATGTATTTTTTGTGCCTATTCGTAGAATGGAAACAAACCAAAACACCCCCGAAATAAGTGAAGCTCAATTATGCCCGCCTCAAAAATGGAACAGAGATTCTGCTAGTCGACAACAATAAAAAACCAAAAACCAATAATAATTATGTATAATTTGTAAGACCTTTTTGTGGTTTCATAGCCTGATACGCGCACAAATGGTAGATCACAAAATGAAACACACACACTTAAATCTCATGCTTTTAAAACTACAATTTTAATTAGAGAAAACAAAAATCTAGACAGTTTACCTTACCAGCTAGAAACAAGGAAAAACCAAAGCCACAAAATCCTTTTGTTGATTTAATTTATTTCTATGTATAATATTTATGTACTTTCGTTGAATGCAAAAGATGTTAACAAAACAATTTAGCTAATAAAAATTAAAAAAATACAAGCAGAAAACATAAAAGATTTTATGACAAACATTATGCGCACAGAAAAGTAGGCGGCGGCAATTGTATGTGAGGCATTTTATTTCAGTTTCATTTCAGTAACACCTTTACACACACCCAGATATATCGATCTCGTCCAAATTTATTTTCGTCCGAATATTTTACAAATTTTCAGTCCAAATTTTAAATGCAAAAGGTTTACGAAACGAAATACTAAATTTGAGTTGTACAAAATTTGCAAAATTCCCAATGGATAAACAGCAGAAGTCCGGTAAACATGCAAAAATATTTATATACCATGAACAGTTCTCAAAAATACATTACCTTATGATTACAGACGCCTCTTGCGGCCGTTCCACTTCGAGCAGCAGTCGTCGCGTCATGTGGAAAATGGACGCGGCCAATAAGGATGATGAGGAGGTCTTCGATTCGGTCGTCACCTATCGCTGGATGCCAGCAGAGGTCACCGTTAGCACTAAGAAATCGAAAAGCAATCCAGAGGTGGCTGGCAAACGAGAGGTAGCCAACAAAAACTGGCGATTGCTGGTCACAGAGTTGGTCAAGCAAAAGGAGCTGGAGCAGCCGGTGCAGCTGGAGCAGCCGACAACATCGCGTGCTGCTATACACAATACAAATTCTTTGGCGAAACTTGATGGCAAGGAGCGCGCCAAGGTATATTGGCAGCATCTGTTCAACACAATTGTTAAGCAGAAGCGAGTCAACAAAACGGCAATGCCGCAGGAGGAAGAGGAGGAGGAAAAGGACATTCCTTTGAGCGGTAGTTCCAGCCTGGCCCTGCGCTACAAGCCATCCCATGAATCGCTCAAGTACAAGCGGAGCAAGGACCGAGGCGTAAATCAAGATCAGCAGCAGCCGAGCACCTCCCATGCGGCGGCTGCCAGCTTAAACATTGAAACCTGTGACCTGCCACCGCACCAGACGTGCGTGGTGCGTGAGCCTCCGCCAATGTTTGCTCACCGCGTGCGCATCTCAATGTCCAACGACACAGATTCGTGCAGCTCCGGGGAGGTGGAGGCGCAGAAGAACGGCACTGCATCTGATGGCAGCAGCGTGACCGGACTATCGAAGCATCTGTTGAGTGTCGTGGTGACGACGCCCGCAGGCACCGCCTTTTCAAGCGATCCTCAGGTGGTGGTACCCAAGCGTGACACGACGAAGCGTACAAAGGCACCATCAGGCAGAGCACGTTCCCACTCGTCGTCGGGCAGAAAATTGACTAGCCCCAGCAACAGCGGCACCGCAGAGTCGAGCAAAAAATTGACTGTCCCCAGCACGGCTGCAGGTTCCCCCTCAGAGTCGGGCAAACCATTGACCAGCCGCAGTGGTAGCAGCACGGCACGTTCACCTTCCGATTCGGGCAAAACCAACAACACCACTGGCAGCGTGGTGCCTAATCTCCGCCAGCGCCAGCAGGAGCTCCACCATTACCGTGTCCTCATCGAGAAGCGTCGCCTGAGCTTGCTTGAGCTGAAGATTGCTCGCGAACGTGAGGAGACTCTGCACCAGGACATCCTTTTTCACAAGGACTTGCAAATCAAAGAGAATCTCCTGAAAACCTATGACGACAACGATGTCTCTCACGCTTAGGAACTCCATTGCAGTACGCAGTGTCACCCCACTCAGATTAGGAATAACATTTGCAATAGCATGAACTCAATTCGCCAAGTACCAGTACTTCAAAAATCAGATTAAATTAATAATAATAATATTAAAATAAAACCAAAGAAATCCATAGACCGGGAAAAAACGATTTTGCATTTTTTGATTATCAGTTATATGTATAGCCTTGACGTTTGACAGCACTGGTATTTGTATTCTGATGTATTCATTTTCTATGGTTCAACTTTGAGCCGTTAAACTAACGAATTATATAGTAATATGAATATGACAAAATAATAATATGAATAATATGACAAAAACATGAATCACCAGACTATGGCTATTGTCCTGACCAAATAGGACTAATTTATTGGCTCAAGTAGTCGCTATGGTCCAAGCTCACAGCAAGCTGTAGTCAGGAAATAGCCTGTAGCCTATTTTGGATAGATATATAGATTTTACCTTATTATAACATGTATCGAAGGAAAAGAGATGGAAGAACGTATTGTAGTTACGGCAAAGGCTACGGAAAGATCATGGTCAAAATAATTAGAAAGACAGAGTTGAATATGAAGTGGAATGTAATGTCTAGTCGGGCGGGAAGAAACAGAGATGCTAATAGGGCTACTGAGGGCAGTGGAATCAACCAGAATCTCACCAGCGAGAACTTTGCGCACTACATATCGAACACACATAAACGTAATGCTGCGACGCAAAAGGAGTCGTCTCCACTAGATTTATAAGTTGAAGATTCCTTGGATATTGTTGTTAACTTTTAAATCCACTCCGTAAATTGGCGCCCTTTGAGGCAGCAACGACCAATAAACGCGTCTCCAAGAGAATGTCAGTGCAGCTGCTGCTCCAATTTACATGGAGTCTGCATTCCATTTGGTCGAGTTTTACAACGAGAGAGAGCAGAGCCCCAAAGATGTTAATAAATATGTGTAGAACTTGTGGCAGGCGCAATCTCTGTGACCAAAGCATAAATCTTTTCGAACGTGCCAACAGGAAGATGGTGCGGTATATTTTTATGATTGCTGGAGTTCGGGTAAGCCGCCGCCGCTACTTACTGAGAAATTTAAATTTACATATGTATCTCTATGGAAATGACTACAGTTGAAAGATCTGTCGAACGTTCCCACCTTCATCTGCCATTGCTGCAAGTCGGATCTTTCGGCTGCCATAACTTTTCGAAAGCTGTGCCTAAAGACCCAGAAACGATGGCTGCCCAAAATTGTGGTAGACGAAGACTCCTCGCTAAGCGAATTGGAATGCCAAGCAACGACAGACAGTTGCAGCAAAGTCAGCACATTCAGGGAAACTGATGACGAGGCAAAGGAGCCGGAAGAACCTTTCCTAATAATGCTGGAGGAGCAGCCAACGAACAGCCTCTTCGTGGATGAAGATAATCACTTGGACCTGGATGTCGATATAAAAAGCGAGCCAGAGGAAAGCTGCAGCAAAGCGGAGCAGTCAACGGCTGATCCAATATTAACCAAAAATACTAACTTGGACCTGAATGTCAATGTAAAAAGGGAGTCAAAGGACAGCTGCAGCAAAGCTGAGAAGTCACCTGCTGATCAAAAATTAACCAAAAGTTGCCACAAAGCTAAACAGAAAGTCGAACCCTACATATGTGAGCAGTGTGGCATGCATACCCATTCGAGGATTGTATTTGGGCGTCACATGCAAAAGCACACGGGCGAGCGCCCGTTTGGCTGCCTGTAAGACTCATAAGAAAGCTGAGAATGATGTGTATTAAATCCCAATTATTATGTTTTGCAGGGAGTGTACTGCAAAGTTTATCACGGCTTCCGAATTGCAGTCGCATCATCGTGTCCATACGGGTGAGCGACCGTTTGCCTGTCGCTATTGTGAGCGGAAGTATGTCAGCTTCATGGGCAGATTGAAGCACGAGAGAATCCACACCAACGAGCGGCCTTTTGTCTGCGCCGAGTGCGGCAAGACATTCACCGGTTCCTATGTATTAAAGAATCACATGCTAGTGCATACGGGCGTGCGACAATTCCGATGTGATCTCTGTGAGCGGGATTTTCAGCGTAAGACGCATCTGCAGGCGCATTTCAAATCAAACACTCACAAGCAGAACATCGTCAAGCAGCAGCAGCAGCAGTAAGACGGTGTCTTGTGATTTTAGAATAATTTGTAGTTACGTATACGCAGGGAACCAAATATAATCTTAGTTTAAACGAGAAATGAAATTCATTTGTGGTCTTATTTGGAGCCAGTGTTGCACGGCGTCGCCTGTACGTGTGGGCGTTGCGCCGCGAATGGTCTTGGTGTACAATTGGTAATTATTAAGTATTATTAACAATTTTTCGCACTAAAATGCTGCAAAATGTTTGTCGCGTATGCGCCAGCAACACGGACGACAGAAATGCATTGAAGCTCTTTATGAGCAGCACGCGGGGGCTGGTGAAACAAATCAATTTAATTGCCGGCATATTGGTAAGCTTAAAGGAAACCAAAATGAATATTTTTAAAGCAATAATTTTCCCCACTACAGCTTCAATTTGAGCCCGATTTACCAGATTGGATATGCGAACGGTGTCAAACAGCCCTACAGAGTGCCATAGAGTTTCGGGAGCAGTGTCTGAGCAGCCAAGAGAAGTTAAATGGAATGCTCAGTAAGTGTTCCCGGCCTGTACGCCGTAGTAAGCGCTCCCAGAAACACCTGGAGGTAGACACAGCGCTCAAGAGTCCACCAAGTCCCATAGAAGTCATGATCAAAATCGAAAATCTAAGCAATGGCGATGAGGAGGACGATGGTGTAGATCATCTAGACACCAGCAACGATGCCGATCCTGATTTCGTAATTAAACAGTTGCCCTTGTCGGAAGATGATGCACCTGGATCACCAGATAAAGTCCGAAAAGGTCGACGAAAGAAGTACTCGAGCGAAAAGCGCCAAAAACCAGCCCTAACCGTCTTCTTCTGCGATCAATGTGGCACAAATGTAACAGGAAAAACATCCTTTGAGCGCCACCTGCGGAAGCACAGCGGCGACCGGCCCTTCCCGTGCGAGTAAGCTGAGAAAACTAAGCAATATCATTGCAGTTTGTAATCTTGTTGGTCTTTTTAGACTCTGCCCCGCCCGCTTTCTATCCGCTGGGGAGCTGAAAAGCCATCAGGTGATGCATACGGGGGTTCGAAACTTCCCCTGCCGCTACTGCGAACGCAGCTATGTCAATTACAGCGGACGGCTGCGTCACGAACGCACTCATACCAATGAGAGGCCTTTTGTATGCTCCCAGTGTCCCAAGAGCTTCACCAATTCGTACATTCTAAAGAACCATATGCTGATCCATACGGGCGAGCGCTTGTTTAGGCAAGTAACCCACTCCACTCATTGTTGTTCAATTTTTTGCATTAACAGCCTCATTTGCAGATGTGAGCTGTGCCAGCGTTCCTTTTCGCGTCCAACCCACTTGAAGACCCACTATCGATCGAATACGCACAAGCACAATCTGGAAAAGGCAAGGGTCGAAGAAGAACAGCAGCCAGAGGGCTTGGAGATGCCTCTGCCACAGCAGACTGGATTCCTGGTGGAGCAGCAGCCGTCGATGGCCTTCACGATAGAAGTGCCATTGCCTGTGGAGCAGGATGTAGCCACTCGACAGCTCTTGGGCCCAACAACCTTAGTATTTAGTGCGAGTTAAACCAACGACAATGTAGAGCCAAATATTATTTACATATACTTTAATTCACTTAGCTTAAGGTAAGCCTTGTAATAAGGGACAATTGACTTGATTGGAGGATAGAATTTATTAATGATTAAATTTGTATTACAACTCAACTCTATTATATTATCGCTGAAATGCTACTTGTCTGTGTAATCCGTCATTGCGCCAGGACTAATCCTAAATTATTAAACTATCTTCCTCCACCTCCTCCAATTTAAGATCCTTTTTCTGCTCCCTTTCCTGTGTAATTCCGGCCTTCTCCATATGCCTTTTGTGCACGCCCGAACGGAAATGTGTGCTCAGATGGGTGGGGAGCATGAAAGACTTGTCGCACAGCTCGCACCTTTGAAAATCGAATCGAGTCAAAGCAATTCCAGGTAGCCATTTAGCATATTAACTCACCTGTATGCGCGCTCGCCGGAATGTATCAGCATGTGGTTCTTCAGAATGTACCCGGTAGTGAAGGCCTTGCCGCATGTGCCACAGACATAGGGTCGTTCATTGGTGTGTGTGCGCTCGTGCTTCACGCGAGTGGTGTAATCGGTGAAGCAGCGTCCACAATATTGGCAAGCGAACGGGCGCTCTCCCGTGTGCTTGCGCATGTGGCGCTTCAGCTCAGATGTGGTGCAGAAGCGAGAATTGCACAGTCTGTAAATGAATTAGTATAAAATTTAATGGAGATTGCAGCTGCTGTCGGGTGGGAGATATACTCACTCGCAACCAAACTGCTTATCGCCTCGGTGACGACGACAGTGCAGCTCGAAGGCCATGCGGCCCTTGATGTGATTGCCACACTGCTCACAAATGTACACGCCGCCAGTTCCACGGCGCCGTGGATCATCGGCGCGTATTTTCGGCTTCTGCGGCAGACTGGACTTCTTCACAACGAGGTTCTCATGCTCGTACTCATCGTCCAAGACATTGTCCAGCACGGCCACTTCGTCATCAGAGTCGTAGACATAGCCGTCATTGCCATCGCCTGTAATGAGTTCCCCAGAAGCATCTATCATTTCTTGCTCCTGATGGATTTGTTCCTCATTATCGTCGTCCGCCATGAGGCTTTCGTATTCGGCCTCCTCTATAAGCGATGCCCCGTCGTCCTCTACCACGTTGTTTTCAGCCAAATCGTAGAAATCATTGTCATATTCGACTTTTGCATCCATTTCCTCCTCCTCATCCTCCTCCTTTGGTTCGATATCAACATCACGATAAGTTTCTTCAGTTTCCCCGTCGTCAGGTGGCTGTGCCTTCTTGCCGTCGTCCTCCTCCTCGAGATCAGTGCCCATGACGGCAGCCTTGTAGAACGCAGATATGCCCTTTTGCTGTGCTGCGGTAAGACCCAACAGCAGATTCCGCTGGGCGACAATGCAACGCTCGCGAAATTTAATAGCAGCGCTCAACTCCATTGTACAGCATTCGCAAATTAGATCGGGGAGACAACCATAGGGCTCCAGCTATATACCAAAAAAAATATGGTTGCTACAACTATGCACAATAATTTATGGCCAAGAAATACTGTACCCGCAGTCCGGTGAGCGTCTCAATGTTCTCAATCATCTTTGGATTTGATTTGTCAAACAAGCGCGGTGATCTTTTAGTGCTTGCATATTTCGCACACACCCGGCAAGTGCTGTTAAAGTGTTTTAACGACGACTTGGACATCTTTTTGGCTGCAATTGTAACAATTTGTGCCTTTTTTGTAATAAAATGCAGTGAGCTCAAAAAGTAAACGCGTCGCTTGTCAGCTGGATTTTGCCATTCACAGTTTGCGCATTCGGCACGAAGCTGTACATGCTGAACGAACAGCTGTGCTGTGTCTGTGATGCCGACAACAACAACCAGGACGCTATGTCGAATTTGGATTGGTTCGTTTTCAGGGAAAATGTACTACTAATTGTTGATTAACTGTTCCATTTGACTGCAGGGTGTGCGTGCCGCGTTTGTATGAAGTGAGGAAAAACCACTTGGCTGGCCGTGCCACGCTGGAGCACCCGCTAAAACAGCAGACAGTAACGGTGAGTATGACGCCCACTTGGACTTTAATTTATGAACACTCGTCATTCTTGTATGCAGGTGGTCGACAGCAATCCCTTGAGCCTGGCTCTGGAGGGTACTGATCCGCTCTCACAATTTGCGCGCCAAGATGAGGAACTTAATGATCCACTGTCCCAAATGGTCAGCGAATTCGTAAGTGCACCACTAATGCCCCCAACCACACATGAACTGAGCCGCCTTTGTCTTTTAAGGACCTCAAGTCGAAGCGTCGCGAACGTGATAGGGCAGAGCCAGAGGATAATACCCTGCAATGGAGCACAAGGCGCTTGGGTATTCTCAATCGCTTCACCACCAGCGAGAAGCTATCGCTATCGACTAGTTTTCTGGTCGCCTCTGGCAGCTTGGACGGCGGCAGCGAAAGCAGTAAGTCTTGTGGAGTGATTTTCTGCCCTTTCTAACCCGTTCAATCCCCAGTCAAAGCACAAACTGTGGTGGCAGACAAGACCAAGTATCGACTGGAGCAGCTGGATCATTTCGATGATGGCACTATGCGCCACATGATGGACCTCACGCAACCGGAATACATTCAGAGATTCGAGCAACTCAAGCAGGAGCTCACCCAATCCTGGCACAACGATCAACGCGTGAAGGCTCTGAAGATTGCCATACAGTGTGCCAAGATGTTGGCGGACACCACTGTCCTGCAGTTCTATCCCAGCCAGTATGTGCTCATTACGGACATTTTGGATGTCTTCGGAAAGCTAGTGTACGACAGATTGCGTGCCAAGGCATCGGGCCTGCCGGGCGCTTCGGCGGCGACATTGGAACGCGAACGTGAAGCTGCTCGGGATACGTGCCAGAATTGGTTCTACAAGATAGCTTCCATACGAGAGCTGCTGCCGCGCTTGTACCTGGAAATGTCCATCTTCAAGTGCTACGAGTTCTTGACATCCGATCGCGAGGAATACGAAAAGTTACTGCGACGTCTAACGCACCAGTTGAGAGGCATTGCGGATCCCCTGGTTTCCAGCTATGCGCGCTGCTATCTAGTGCGCATGGGCGTGGCTGTGACGTCCAGCAAGACATATATTCGTGAGAATTTCGGGGATTTGTTCATTGTTTATCCTCAGGTGAGTGGCAGTACTCTCTAAGTAGCTTCATTTGCTCAACATTTCTTTGATAGATCTTTCGCTTTGTGGCACGTTTCAATCTGCATCCGGAGATTGTCACCGCCAGCTCGTATCTGCAGCTATATGCGCCAGCATTCGACTATATGCTGCTGTGTTTGGTGCACAAATGCGAGCTGCACACGCAGGATATGCTCAACGAATGCAAAAAATTGAAGAACAAGTGAGTGGGAGTCTATATATCCTTCAATAAAACCCATTCAAAACTCTTTTATGTCTCACCAGCGGTGCAATACTGATGTCCATTCTGAGCTCCTTCAAATCCGAATTCATTGCCACAAATGCCTTGGAGTTTGTAGATCTGATAAATGCCTCAGAAACGCCGGGCATATCCAAATCCCAGCTGCTTCGTTCACTGGGTAGCTCCGTCAGCAGTTGTGCCCCGCTGCAGGAACAGCGTGTGTCATTTCTAAAGGCTGCCTTTGAGACCATCAACAAGCTCACGGATCCCAATGAGTACATCAATTGTGTGGAGACCTGGGCTGTGTTCGTATCACAGTATTTTACGGTACGGTAGTAGCATGATTTAAATGCCAAAGAATGTTAAATTATTCTTTATTATGTTTCCACAGATACACGAAGTGAATCGTTTGCTGGGAGAGCTGAATACTCGCATGTGTTTGGGCAAGGCCTATGAGAAGCACTATCCACAATTGCAGAGCATTCTTGCGAGGATTATGCAGAATTATCGCAGCATTGAGCTGCTGTTAATACAGCCAAATTTCTTGCCCTATTTGGATCTGTTTCAAAAGGAATCCGTACGCGTGGAAGTGTGCAAGACAATACTCACATACTACAAGCAAAACAGCGAGGAATACACCTGCGATGCGGTGGTCACGAATGCTCTGATGTATCTGGGAAAGATTCTCAATGATTCTGTGAAGTAGGTGCATCTTTAATGATTCAGAAACCTTTGCCCAATTGATATTTATGCTCCTCGTGCAGTGCTCTGTCGGTGGAAGACGAAAGACGACAAATATCGCAGCTTATAAATGTCTTCATACACAAAGTAAACTTTGGTCGCGACTTGGAGCAGCAGCTCGGTTTCTATGTGGAGGCTAGGGGCACCTTTAGCAATCTGGATGCGGTATATGTCACCCTGGTGCATGCTGCCTGCAAGCTGGCCACGCGTAATACCTCAAAATCCACGGGTTTCATCAAGGCCTGCATTGCCTACTGTTTCATAACCATTCCGAGCATCAGCGCTGTCCAACAGCAAATGGATTTGTATTTGCTTTGCGGCCAGTTAGCTCTCAGGCATTTGTGCTTGGGACAGGGTAAGGCATTTCCTTTAATGAATAACAGAATTTCTGTATAAATAAGTTTATTTCTTTTTAGCTGATGCCTGTTTTGAGGCCGCCTTGCAGCTGGTAAATGAACTGCCTGCCGCCACCGTCGACTTTGAGGGTAAGCCGCGCAGCCTGGAGCGCTATTTAGTCACGTATCTGTGCAATATGCTGGCCACGTTGATTGTGGTGCCCGATAGTCCAGAGCAGGGAGTGCTGTACTTTCTGCGGCTGCTTCTAGATGTCATTGGCCAGCATGAGTTCAAGGCAGACAGCACGGCGCCAAGCGTCATCTATCTGCATGCCTTGGACATGCTCTATGTGCAGTCCCTGGAGAAGTATCCCTATCACATAAAGGATGTGGTTTCCAATGATGATTTGTACGGTCATGATCCCAAGTTTCTAGTGGAGATCAACAATCTGTGTGTCCAAGTGGTGGATGCCATTCTGCTGCAGCTCAAAGCCCTAGGTGTGGCCCATCAGCAGCGACAGCAGGCGGAGCTATCGCTAGATCTGTTCTTAAGGATTGTACGCTATGCGGACTTGGAAAAGGAAACTGTGGTCCAATTGGCATTAAACCTCTGGATATTGGCCAACAAATCGCAATCACAATTGGATGTCAAGACACTAGTATGTATTGGACATAATTTATCTCTTTTTGTGATACCTTTCTTATGGATTTACTCTTCATTTTGCAGCCCCAAACCTTACGCGTTGTCGAGCATTTGTACAAACAATTGAGGGATGTGGCACCTGCGCAGGCACAGGCCATTGCAAAGCTACTGCTGCGCATGCGCAACAGCTGAGAGCTGGAGCAAAGCCGAGCTGCCTGCTGAGATTATCTAATATATTCTTATATTCCCCATACATATATGCATATGAATCTTTTACGGATTCACGGCCTGGATTATACCTTACCTTCAGTTTTGTGCTTTTTTTAGCTGACATTTTTGTGTGCAATTACAAATGTATGTGTATGTTTAATATATATAAAGACTTGATACAATTTTTGACTGGAAAAATGAAACGAAGTTTGTTGTAAAAGCGCAGTATTCCAATGCGTTTTTTATTCAATAATAAAAATACGATTGCCGGGAGGCCCATTTGCCACAGCTATCATTTAATTTAAGCTGTGCGTTTACCAAAAATTACACCCTGCTGTCTGTCAAATGAATGTGTAGAGCACACATGCAGATAATTCTTGTGTGTTCTATAATCTTTGATTAGCACCCAAAGAAGGGTCTGTTTAAAGCATATTTCACTTTCCCAACAGTTGGGTTCGGTGTAAAAAGGTTTACGAATGAAGGACGAGGAGTGTAAAAATATGATTTACATTTTGTGTTCAGTTTTTCTTCTTATTATTTTTTTTTTGGTAGTTTAAAACATTTGAGGCATTTCTGTCGTACAAATAAATGGCTACAAAATCTATGGCTGACAAATGAGTAGCATCGCATATTCCAGGAAATCAAAAATCAACAAAACTTAAAGCGTAATTTGAATATCAAAGATATATGTAGAGATACAATATGCATATAACCTTAATTCATGTATATCGGGTGTGTATATATACTATATATATATATATATATGTAGATTTATGAGTGAGAAAAAGTATATCCAAAAAGCTTGTTCTGCAGTCTAGAAATTCGTCTCCTTAAATTCCTTGGATTGTAGCACGGGGGACGTCGTCGTTGTCGTTCCCTCATTTCCATTTCCATTATGTGATGTTCCCTCCGATCCCCCTCCACCCACTGTATAGGCCAGCACTGTGGCATGATCTAACTTCCCGGGCAGCGCCACGAAGGCACTGCTGTCCACAACCCTCTTCCTGGCCGCCCGATGCTGCATTCGATTGAGCTGTACCTCCCGCTTGGCGCCATCGGGTCCCGTCGAGAGCTTGTAGAAGAGCTCTCGCTGCTCCAGGGTCTTGCGTCGCGCAGACGTTATCATCCGCACGAAATCGATGAGCAGGTGGCACAGCCTCCGCGCCGAAATGCAGGGCGAGAAGGTGCCATTGATGCCATAGCTGAGAAGATCTTCCAGGCGATACAGCGTGAGGGCATGCCTTTGGGGTCCTGTCACAAGGGGCAATCCGGAGATCGACTTTGGTATGCGCTGCGGTGTCGTCGTCACAGAGGCTGGCGCTCCCAATCCCTGACGTGGTTCAATCAGCGTCTGGGAGCGCATGTACTTTGGACGACTGGGCGCATTGCTGGGCGGACTGCCTGCCTTTACTTGGCGCGCTGGCCGTGTGGGTGGCGTCGATGGATGCAGACGTGCGTAGATCGCAGAGGCACTCTTATTCTGCCGCTTGGGCGCCAGGCTCGAGGGTTTCCCCACTGATG